GAGCTAGTAAAAACGGACTGATTATGTAAATTACACGAAGTTCTCCGAAGTACAAAACACGATTGATGAGGAATTTATATTTACTTACATCACAATTTGTATTTCTATTTAAAGTCATGTTCTGGCAGATGACACACTAGTTGCATGAGAATTTAACAAAACCACGCACATCACATTCCATGACCCAGTCATTTCTTTCTGTGTATTCATCGACTGCAAACTACGTTCTAGGCAGGCTTGTGGAAACTCTCACATAGTCAAACAAAATCGGTGCATCTTGTGACTTTAGAGAACCAAAACTAATATGACATGGGCCTGTCATTTAGTATCAAGGTGACAGAATCACCAAATTATTGCCTGCCTTATCAAAAGCAGCACTCAGGACGGGCTCACCATGCGCATTCCATGCACCGCTGCGAAGTTCACAACATGGTTGATGAGGAGTTAATTCTCAATTACTTCAAAATTTGCATTCTTACCTTTATGCATGTTCTGGCAGATGACACATTAGCTGCAGGAGAATATAACACGCGAACCACTTTCGCAGCAACCTTTCTTTCGAAAATGGATTGAAAGTGGTGTCGAAAAGGGTTTTGCACATAATGAAGTAGGAATTCCCATAAGTCCGCCTACATGAATGGCGTAGTTGGTCGTTGCAGTGGCATATTGTGTAGGATTTGATTTTCTTGTGAACCATTAGAAAGGCAGTTGTGCAATCGTCTATTGGGATTACATTGTTGATGTAAACAGGAATAAATGGGTACACAAGCTGTGTGAGGTCGACGTGAAGTTCTGCGAACTTCATGAGAAATCAAAATGCGTGTGTCTAGATCAGGCCAATGACCTCATTTTGTCGCATCACGATCAGTGAACTTCCTTTATGCTTGTATGAACTCAATAAGCTGCATTTTGTTGTGCTGATATTAACCAGTGCCATTATTCTAGGTGCCCTACTTGCTGACATCTTAATGATCGCAATTTATTAAGTGCCACAGTGTCTGCTGATGCTCTCGTTTACCCAAAAAGCAGATTAAGCACAAGTCATGTCTAAAATTTGACAGGATTTTGAGCAGGCGGTAGTTTCAGCAATGACTCTTAGCGAAGTACGCCTCAGTTGAAATTATTGAGCCACATCAAAAACCAAAAGCGTTTAGTTTAACGCAGCACATCTTTGACCCAATTAGTGTACACTTCATACTCGTTCATGCCTTCTGGCTTTTGAACCTGGTTATTTAAACTGTGCTTACCTACCAATGTCATAAAATTATAGTCAGAGCTTGATATCTCGACAACCAACTCGACATAGTCTAAAATGATCCATGTTATGAAATATTGCCGTTAATGCGAGGGACCTATTGAGGAAAATCTAGGGCTAACAAGTTAGCCCCACAATGTGGTGAAACTATGCGTTTTCAGTTTTACAAATCTTGTTATGTGTTATTAATGGTGTTTTGTAATGCAAGTCAAGGTGAGAAATGGTTATCTATAACTACCGAATGATTAGATAAGTATTTTGCAGTTTTGATCGTCAAAGTGTTAATAGATTTGAGATTTTAAATGAATGCTTGCCCTTTTCTCGTTCTGCCAACTATACCGGCATGAACATTCGTGTGACGACCTCAGATTTTGGGCGTCGAGCAACAGTGGCCCTGTCACTAGTAATTGGCCATTGTTACAGCCAATGGCTGATGATGCTGCTGGTGCTGGGGATATACGGGTGTGCAAAGGAGAAGAAAGATTTATGATAACTGCTATGTGAGTTGATTTTGATCAACATCCGTGTGGAAATCGACATCTCATCCACATTTTATTCTCTGTGGACGTGAATGGCCTGGGACCTGTACATCGCAAAATGTGTAACAAATCCACTGTGTCGAATCCTTGAATACCGCAGGCTTGCACTGAAATATAGAGAAGGTCCAACATGGTCTGTGTCACTTAAAGCAACGCGCTACTAAAGAGGATGCCATACGAAACTATTTACAATAGGGAGATTGACAGATTAGCGGGCAGTTTGAAAGCGGCTGACACGTGCAATCAATTTGACTTACAAGTCAACGGTTAAAATTCAAATTTACCATTAGTCCAGAGTGCCTGCAATTGTAAATGCCAAACTTTAACAATAACATGATAATGAAACGAACATGGGCATGAACCTGGATCCAATTATATGTGAATATACTCGAATAACTGCGAATCATCCGTGGTCGGCTTTATTCACATACTGTAATGCAAGCTGCGCTGACAAAAATGGAAGTATAGGCTGTGCAATCTCATCGCTTTATAACAATTCTGCCTGCGTTGAAGTTGTTATTGCAGTCCATCTGACTGGCCGTGAGCCTACTTAATTAAAGTCTGAATTCTGGTTGAACACCAAACCTCATGCGTCAAATATATGGCAAGCAATCGAAGATGTGGGAAAGAAATGACGTCTTTCGATGCCGATTTCGCAGATTCCACAATTTGTAAAGAAGCACCAAATATCGATAAGGAATCAAAGAAGACAAAGTACACTAAAGCAGTCGATATCACGATCGTGCTAGCGCCTTTTGAATTTCATTTGATGCAATAGTTTGAACAACGCCTCTGGCTGATCTCCAAGTCTATCGTCTTTCAGCCAGCATCTGCTGAATCAACTGTGTGCTAATTGCGTTGCTACACAGCGTGTTGTGAGGTGAAGTTCACTAATAGCATGCTATGTACATGCATGCAAGCCTACTACTGCTTCTCAATAGTAACCTTCTACATGGTGATGCCAAAGCGGTACCGATAACCCAATGTGACGCGGTTGTAGCTGAACACTCAGCTCACTTAGCATGCAGCATGCACGTATTTGCGAAAAAAGCAGTTTATTTATTATCAACGAAACATTACAGCAACGAATTAAAACAAATCAATGTCAGTTGACATAAAGTCAGAAGTCGTAGATGGTTCAGTTGGTTTGGGCCACAGTTCGGACAATTTCCCGTAAAGCCAGCCTGCATTTGGCGGCTTCTTCAGTAGCAAATTGGCCTCATTTTGCAGAACATCTTGCATGGCGCGTTTGTCCTTCAATTTCTTCGACGAAATGTTGACGTACAGGTCCGGTCCGCCAATACTGGTGACATTCCATTCCAAAAGTACCACAGTTACATTGGCTGCAATTGTATCCTTATCAACCTTTCTAGCGTTTGCGGAGACGTTGAAAGCTGCAACACCGATTGTGGTGTTCAGCCTCTAAAAGAAGCCACATAAACATCACACCAAATAGACGTGAACATGAATGTTTCATTTCAGTTTTACCGTAATCACCCACTCATTCTCTCATTTGTAAAATGGGCTTCAAGCCAAGTATTTTGTTCCGTTTTGCCTTAACGAAATTTCCAACTACCTTAATGGCTCTCATCTGTGTTTCACACTAGCTGGTAGATGCAGCTACGCACAAGAGCAATTAACAGAGCCACATGCTGGTTTTTAATTAATGTCCACCTAGACACTGAACAATTATGAAATGCGCATGACTATTTATAATTAAAACAAATGCGTAAATCGGGAACTGATATTGCAAACAGCACTAGTGGGGATGGGAGTTTCGCGGACACAAGTCCAAGATATCTCGATTGCATCCTCGTGGCAATGTCGCACACTTGGCTAGGAATGAATAGACTATTGCCTACATAAAAATGCAACGCAGTTGACCCAAGAAAAGGCTCATAGTTGTGCAGTAAAAAAGGCTGTGGTTGACAGGTTATCGCACCGAATTCAGATGCCGATTTAGCGGTATTCTAGTGCACGTCTACAAGAATTTGTCGATGTCAAGTAAAACTAGTAGATATGCGATCATGTCCTCAAGTCATTTGTCTTTTCTCCAACCAATGACAATCAATCACAAAACCAATTTTACTCCTGTGTTTATAAAAATCATTACGTTCTCTTGCGTTGGTATACGTTTGAATATTGCATGCATTCTTTTCTTGCCTTTGGATTTCGAGCACCATTGCTTAACCCTTCATTATCACGAACTTCCAAAAGTCGGTTATTTTGGTGGACAGCACAACGATTTCCGAATCCGAATTAATCAATTGCACATTCGTGGATTTTTAAATATTTGTTTAGGAAATGCAAAACTCACCAGGTCCGGCATGTCAACATGAACATTCGTCAGGTTCACACAGGTACTCACGGACAGGCTCATGTTTTCATAGGTCCCTGACTTGTCTTTTGTCAGCGGACAGG